TGTATGAGGTCAGGCATTACTACTAATGCACACACTTAAGTCCCTGGAGGTTTACGGATTGAGACCTGCAAGGAGTGAAGTTCATAGTTATGATATTGATAATGGAAGGCAGTTGTGGTTCAGGAATGTAGTTGAGCTGCAGGTAATCCGGCTTACTTTATAGGATGCTAATGGTGGGTGATTTACCTGAGTGATCCACTGAAACATTGAGGTTTGTCACCTTAACGGTGTGGAGTGTTGGAGTACATACATTTATTTGTGATAGCAGACTTGGAGTCTGGAGCCCACATATTGATGGGTTGCTGGTCATGACTTATAAGCCCACAGTGAACAACTTCTGGGATGTGTGCAAAACATGGGCCAGGGGTGGTCATGGAGTGCAGCCCTATGGCAGCCAAACTGCGTGTTACGGCCCCCCCCCTTAGCAACTGGACTAGTTACTCCTGAGCCCCGTAGCGACCCAGTAGCGACCCCGTAGCGACCCCCTAGCGACCCCGTAGCGACCCAGTAGCGACCCCGTAGCGACCCCGTAGCGACCCAGTAGCGACCCAGTAGCGGCCCAGTGCTCCCACACGAGCTACTGCCCCGCCACTGGGCCGCTACTGCCCCGCTACTGGGTCGCTACTGGGTCGCAACCCGTCTCCTGAGTAACTAGTCCAGTTGCCAGGGGGGGCCATAACATGTCGTTTGGCTGCCATAGGGGTAGGGATAGACCATGTATGCGTGGATTCATAATTTTACATATACATGTCGCCTAGCAGCAGCTACATGCATACGAAATTCCCAAGTCCTGCTATGTAACAAAATTAAGCCATATGCAATGCCTGCTTCAGCTGAAGCAGCTGCAGCTGCAGCAGCTTCCAAACAATCTGCAGCTTCCAAACAGCACCAAACATTTCCACAACAGCGGCTGCTGCAGCTGCAGCTCATCGATCTGTCAACAATTTGCCTCAAAACATGCTACATTATAGCTCAGAAGCGCTCTATCCACCCTAACACTTTCTGGTATTCATGCCTAGAAGTAGTCCTCCATCACCATCAGTTAACACTCCAAGACAAGTCTGTACAGTGACTGTACAGTGCAGCAGCGCTGCTGCTAGCAGTAGCTTCTCCACAAGCGGCTTGTGAGCCTGTATGCACCAGCTGCTGCAGCAGAAGCTTCGAAACAGCTCCAAACAGTTTCATATTGGGTGCACCCAGCTGCAGCTCATCCATCTCTCAACAAAATTTGCCTCAAAACATGCTACATCATAGGTCACATGCACTATCCACCCTAACACCTTCTGGTAGTCATGCCTAGTATCAGTCCTCTATCGCTGTTAGTTAACACTACAAGACATTGCTGCAGCAGCAGTCCTCCACAAGCAGCTTGTGAGCCTGTATGCAGCAAAGATCAGGCAGGGGCATACAATAGCACCTTTGTCAGACCATCAAGAACTGCAATGACTGTGATGTGGAACTTAGAATGCAGTTTTATGCCACACACCTTACTACTGCTTTAA